AGTCGGAATAAAGCAGATTCCTTCCCTAGTGTGGGTGGGCATTATCTAGTCAACTGAAGGCCTGAGTAGAATAAAGAGGCTATATCCTTTCTTTCTTGTAACATGGTATCATGTACATTTCCTCATATCATGAACCACCTTTCTACTTTGGGTTTATAAGATTTTGAGCACTTTAGCTACTTCATATGAGTAGAATCATACAGTATTGACTGTTCTTTTTGTGACTGGCTTATTTCACATAGCATAATGTTCTCAAGTTCATTCCATGTTGTACGTGACAGAATTTCCTTCTTTTGGAAGGCTGTGTAATATTCCATTGTGTATATACACCACGTTTCCTTTATCCATTCATCTGTCAATGGATATTTTGGTTGCTTCTATCTCTTGGGTATTATAATGAAGCAATGAACATGGGTGTGCAGATATCTCTTTGAGATCCTGCTTTGAGTTCTTTGGAATGACATTTTATTTGTAATATGCTTTATTTTTAGTTTATTTATTTAGAGAGAAAAGCATGAGTTGAGGAGGAGGAGAGAGACAGGGAAAGAGAGAAAGAATCTCAAGCAGGCTCCACACTATCAGCATAGAGCCTGATTCAGACCTTGAACCCACGAAACATGAGATCATGACCTGAGCTGAAACCAAGAGTCAGATGCTTAAGTGACTGAGCTACCCAAGCACCCCTGTAATGTGCTTTTATACCTTCTCTTACCTGACCATCCCACTTGGTGCTTTCCTAAATTTGTTTCATTTTTCTAAACAGAAGCATTCCAATTGTAGTTAGGGCCATGGATTCTTTTTTTTTTTTTTTAATGTTTATTTATTTTGAGAGAGAGAGACAGTGCATGAGCAGGGGAGGGGCAGAGAGAGAGGAAGACACAGAATCTGAAGCAGGCCTCAGGCTCTGAGCTATCAGCATGGAGCTTGACATGGGGCTCGAACCCACGAACCAAGAGATCATGACCTCAACTGAAGTTGTACTCTTAACCGACTGAGCCACTCAGGTGCCCCAGGGCCATAGATTCTGATGAAATATATCTCTGTGGGACCTCAGAATGCAAACCCAAGCAGCTGGGAAACACACAATGCTAGAAGGAGAAGATAATCCAATTTGTGCAACATTCTACTATGAGATACATAACTTTGTGTGAAGAATGAAGCCATTTAAGATGAGCTCATTTACCTCTCCTCCAATGTAAAATTGTCTTTGATTTTTGTCTCAGTCTCAGGAGAAAATCCTTTCAGAGTTAGCTAACCTTCTTCCATGATCATGCGGCAATCATATCCATTCCCATCTTCTCCTTTCCTGGCTTTACTGTTGGAAGGTAGTGATAAGAACTAACCTTTATTTAAAAAAAAACTTTTTTTAATAAAATAAATTAAAAAATTTGAAAAAAGAACTAACCTTTATTGAATACTTACTGTGTTCAGGCACTGTCCAAGCTCTTTTGTGTATTCACTCATTTAATCCTCACAAAAGCCCATGAAGATTCAGCTCTTATTTTTAATCTACATTTTGCCAATAAGAAACTGAAGTGCTGAGAGAGTATGTGACTTTCCCAAGGATATTCAGGTATATAACGATGTAGGCCAGGGCTCATGGCAGGCAGGATGGAGAGGACCTTCAAGTAGCACTTGGAAGACACAATGAGGAGTTCATTCGTTGCTGGGGGCCTGTGGCACATTTTCACAAAAACCTGATCTGGGCTGCCATGGGGCCCAGTCCAAAGAGCATGCTGTTTGATCAGTGTTCTAGCCCGGCAAGCAGCTAAGCTAACCTCAGACCACCCCCCCGATATTCCTGTGGTGTGTCAAGAATCAGATAATGGAAACATTATGGTCCAGGGACATGATGGCATCACAGTGGCAGTGCACAAAATGGCCTCTTGACGTCTCCTATCAGTTCTACATCAGCCTGCCATCAGGGTTCAACCCTACCTATGTTAATTATCTAATAGAACTATTAAAGTTCCAGTCATTAGGCCATTTATTTAGTGTGCATTGGGCACTTTTCTATTATTTTACAGTAAGCTGCTTTTGGACACTCAACAAATTGACTTGTCAAATTTTAGAAAGAAAAGTCTAGGTCACTTGGTGTACAGAATTTTATTATGTTCAATAAATCTGGCTGGATGAAAATAAAAGTATATAAAAATATAGTGATAGGTACATAGAAAATAAAGCAAATAAAAAAGGATACAACTCCAGGAAAGACCCAAAAAGTACAAAAGGAAAGGAATGTAATTACTTCCATTATTTGGATCAGCTATGAATAATATTTACATAGTAATAAATACTGATTTAACAATTTTGATATAACTATATTGGGAGGACTGGAGAAGGGGAAGTAGATGGTACTGAGTGGGTAGTTTAAGACCACAGAATTCTCATCTTCTACGGTATGAAGTCAATAGATGATTCTGAAGTCAGTATATGAAAAAATAGCAGCATAAGCATATTTTTGGAAATACACCAAGAAATAGCTAAAATAGTGGTGTCAGTTTCTTAGATACAGATGACGGTATTCTCCCTGGCATGTTTAAGTAAGAAGGGGTATTCACCAAACAAGGGATGACACCACGGAACTGGCCTGGTAAGGGAGCTGCTGTGGATGCCCCCAGAACCAGCTGCATCCATGTGGTCAAGAAACTCCTGCTGCTAAAACTGACCCTAGAATATATTGCCTCTGTTACACCTACACCAGCAAAAATGAACTTGAACTTGAGCCACCCAGTGAGTTTCCCCACATTCTTTGCTTCTAAATCACAGCACCTGATTAGTAGAACCTTAGTCACATTTCCCAGTTCTTCAGCAAGGGAGGCTGGGATTCTCTCCCTAATTCTACTTTGGCAAAGTGGGGTTCACTAACGTGGAGGATCATCAGACTATGAGAGGGGACTATATAGTGCCTGTCTCTTCCTTCTCTCTCACCCGCTATGTCCCCAAATCACTGAAATTCTGTCTAGAATGCCTCATAAATAGCTTGTGAATCTGTTCACTTTTTTCCACTTTCCCTGATATTTCTCTAGATTAAGTCACTTCCACAATGTCTCAGTTGGTGTCACTCTGTATAGTATTGCCTCTTTAGATGAGAGCATAGGAAATTAGCTAGAAAAGGGGAAGAGAGAGAACCTTGGGATTTGTGGGTTTTCTAGAAACACTGTCAAAGTAAAATGGAATGGTAGACAGTGCCAAAGGCAGAAAAAATCTAAATTGTTTCCAAAGAGACAATTTAGTACTTTTCTTAACAGAAACAAAACTTCTCCCTGCACCTTAATGTTACTGTATGAACATATTCAGGGAAGTCACAGTGTATAATGGTACAGACGCTCTGGAAAGGGAGATTAGAGTTCAGGTTCTGTGATCTTTACTCTTTCTGTGGTCTTAAGTGGCCCTTGTAACTGAGCTTATTTGTTACAGAAGCATTAGAGAATGTCTGTGGAATAATCAGGCATTTAAAAGCACTAAAATTGGGGTGCCTGGGTGGCTCAACTGATAAAGCATCTGACTTTAGCTCAGGCCACAATCTCTCTCTACCCTTCCACCCTCTTCAAAAAATAAACATTAAAAAATTTTTAAAAAAATAAAATAAAAGCACTAAAATTGCCAGTGTCCAAATAACTAAACAAATGATGGTCCACTACACACCAAAATGCTACATGGTTATTTAAAAGAATTATACAACTCTATTCTAACATGAAACAATTTCTAAGATTTTCTGAGTGAAGAAAACACAGTACAGAAAAATATACATAGTATGCTAGCATTTTGTGCGTGTGTGTGTGTGTGTGTGTGTGTGTGAGAGAGAGAGAGAGAGAGAGAGAGCATGCATGGGGTGTGCTTTTTATGAATGTAGGCACATTTATGTTTGTAAATTAACAGACCATCTTTGGAATAAGTGGCACAAATAAGTGGCAATAATGGTTGCCTTCAGAGAAGAGAACTAAGTGGCTAGAGTTGGGATTAGGTGGGGATTCGTTATCTTTTGAATTTTGGTCCATGTGCTTATATTACCAATATCAAAAAATATTTTTTTCCATTTTTAATAGTTTTTATTTTTGAAACAGAGCATGAGCAGGGGAGGGGCAGAGAGAGGGGAGATACAGAATCTGAAACAGGCTCCAGGCTCTGGGCTGCCTGCATAGAACTCAATGCAGGGCTTGAACTCACGAACCACGAGATCATGACCTGAGCCGAAGTTGGACGCTTAACCAAGCCATCCAGGTGCCCCCCAAAATAATTTTTTAATGTTTATTTATTTTTCAGAGAGACAGAGAAAACGCACATGTGCACTAGTTGGGGAGGGGAAGAGAGAAGGGGAGACAGAAGATCCAAAGCAGGCTCTGAGCTGTCAGCACAGAGCCTGATGTGGGGCTTGAACCCACAAACCATGAAATCATGATCAGAGCCAAGGTCAGACGCTTAACCGACTGACCCACCCAGGCACCCCCATAATTTTTTTGAAAGAACACAGAATTACCTCCTACCTGTGAAGGCTGAAGAGAAAAAAGTTGAGAGGGAATTAAATTTGAGCCTGGATGCATCAGGGGCTTGGGGCTCCTCTTTTCCCATTATTGTCTACATCTTCACTTTTCTTCTTTTCTGAAGCATTTACTTTTAGTTTAAATATTTACACATCTGTGGTTTACCAGGTAGGGTTTTTGTTATGCCATACATTCTCAAATTTTCAGGTTTCTCTGCTGGGAAGAGATGAATTAAATTCTATCAAATATTCAAAATGTGTAAGTCATGAAAAGTAGAAGGACTTTCAATAGGAGTTCTTTATATCTGGAGCTTACAAATAGTTCTGCTTGATAGTTTTATAAGGGCCTGTAGACAGCATTTTGCAGTGTGGAAAAATGCATGCACATACGTTATCACTTGATCTTTGCACAGAAGCTCCATGTGATTCTTGCTATTCTCAGCTTTGTCCAAGATCTAAAATTAGAACAAGGCTGACATTACATTTCACTTGGTTACAAGTCTGACTGAGGATTTTAATCATCCGGACCCACATTGAAAACAATTCTCCCTGAAATCCTCTCTCAGCTGATAATCACTAACGTTGGGTATGTCAGCTTCTGTGTCATCTGACAGTGGTAAGTATTTTTCCAAAACACTTTTTTCCCATTCTTCACATGGAAAGAGATTGCTGATGATGCCTTTACTGGGTCTGAATCTGCTGGAATGCACAACTGTACTTGGAATTGAATTTAAAAGTCTCTTTTGGGGTTTGATAGTCATTCATGGATTTCTCTAAAAGTTAAGAAGCATTTTTTTTAGTGTTTTGTTTTGTTTTTGTCTGTTCGTTTTTTGCTTTTTTTGCCTTTGGAAAGCAGACTCTCCCAGTTATGTCCTTGGCATACTATGTGCTTTTGTGTTGTGGTAGTCATGGGAGGGAACGCAATCCTATGGTAGAGGCAGAAATACGTATGTCATTATTGACTTGTTTTCCTCGAAGGGGAACTGGTTGCTGTTATGAGAAAACTGATGGCTGGATAAAGTTTAATGGCAAATTGAGAAACCAAATTACCATATGAATGGTTATATATGTTTAAAAATACACATTTACATGTAGATACTTGGGATTTTAACAAATGCTTTCTTGGGGCACCTGGGTGGTTCATTTGGTTAAGCGTCCGACTTAGGCTCAGGTCATGATCTCGCGGTTCATGGGTTCGAGCCCCGCGTCGGGTTCTGTGCTGGCAGCTCAGAGCCTGGAGCCTGTTTCAGATTCTGTCTCCCTCTCTTCTGTCCTCCCCTGCTCATGCTCTGTTTCTCTCTGTCTCAAAAATAAATAAACTATATAAAAATTTTTTTTACAATGTTTTCCTATTTGACAAACACTTCAACCTTGCTCAAATCTGAGACAGTAAATTGCAGGTTGACTGTGATATACCCAGGGGTTTGGATTATCGGCACCTGTATGCTAAGGTTTTTTGTTCACAAAAAGGAAGATCTTGCAATCTGTTCCTATGCAAATTGTGCAAGCATTGCTTTAAAATAAGGACCCTGTCCTAAAATTTTTTGAACATTGGCAATTACATATTCATCCTAAAATTGTAAATTTTTTTTCTTCTGTAATAGTTTTTCTCCCACCCTCTCTCTGTCTCTGTCTGTCATACACGCTGCATACTTTTATTTTTTTCACACTGCATACTTTTTTAAAAATTTTTAAGTGTTTTATTTATTTCTGAAAGAGACAGAGACAGAGACAGCATGAACAGGGGAGGGTCAGAGAGAGATGGAGACACAGAATCCGAAACCGGCTCCAGGCTCTGAGCTAACTGTCAGCACAGAGCCTGAAGTGGGGCTCGAATACACAAACCGTGAGACCATGACCTGAGCCGAAGTCGGACGCTTAACTGCCTGAGCCACCTAGATGCCCCACACTGCATTCTTTTAAAGAAATTAATAATTTAGAGGAGATTAATAATGAAAGCAATATTCTCTACCCCGTTTCTCTCTATCACCCTAGAAGTAAGCATTTTAACCATTTCAGGATTTGGTTTTCAGTAGTTACCTCCATTGTTCCTGTTTTCTTTTTCAAAAGATGATGCTCAAGTTCACTTAGAGCCTCCCAGAGTTACATACTTATTTTTAGTTTTTCTCCTGATTACCTTTAGAACTTTAAATACTTCAGTCTCTAGTTCGTTGCATAAAATAAGACAGTGTCTATGACTCCCCGCTTTGAAGATGTGGCTTTTGGTGTTCTTTCCTCTACACCTCCATTTCCTTTTTCCACATTCTGTTACATTTATTTTTATATTTTCAAGATGTATTATACTTACTCCATTCTGTTCTTTAGCCATAAATAAGTCTTTCTTGCTTTTTTATAGGTTGACTTATTTTAAAAGTTGCTTTCTATCACTCAAAGAAGAAACTTTGTATCCTTAGAAGTCACTCCTTATTTCCCCCTCTGAATAGTCCCTGGATGTAACTAATCTACTTTTTTTCTCTATGGATCTACATATTCTGGATATTTCACATAAAGGGGATCCTACATGGTCTTCTGAGTCTGGTTTCTTTCACTTAGCCTACTTTCATTCAAAGTTCATCCACAATGTAGCATGTATTGGTACTTATTCCTTTTTAGGGCAAATAATATTCCATTGTATGGATATACCACATTTTGTTTATCCATTGTCAGTTTATAGCCATTTGTTTCCACTTTTTGGCTATTGTGAATAATGCAATTTCAACATTCACGTGCAAGTTTTTGTGTGAACATACATTTTCATTTCTCTTGGGTATAAATCTAGGCATGGATCTTTTTCTATGTTATATTTTCCATCTTTTCCTATTTTTATGTTAGATGTGCCTCTTATAAATAATACACAGGATTTTGTCTTTTATTTAATTGGACAATCATTATGTATTAAATTATGGCATTTAGTAGTCAGGGAAGTATAAATTGTGACCATAATAAGATTTCATACAGCAGTGTGTTGGTGAGGATGTACATCAATGTAGTAAGAGTATATATTGGCACAGTCACTTTGGAAAACAATTTGTCACTATCTTATAAATTTGAACATTCACATTTACTATGATCCAGCAGTTCAAATCCTACATATACACCCAATAGAAGCACGGTGCCCCACTTGAGCACCATGAAGTTAAGGACAAGAATTTTGGAAATAAGATGGCTCATAATAGCAAAACTCTGGTACCCAAATATCCATATTCACTGGGATGGGAAAATTAAATCATGGTATATTAAATCATCCAACATTTTGTAGATCATGGCTCATCAGTATATAAAATGTTCTAGTTCCTTTATGGAGCTATATGATTTCCCATGATATGGATGTACTTACTGATCAAAAGTTATATTATTTCTCATCTTCTGCTTTTATGAAAAACAGTCAATAACTGTATAATATGTAATTTTACAACTGAAAATATTGCAGTACAAATTCCTAGGAATGTGAATGTGCATTTGTAAGACTGATAGATATGACCAAATTTCTTTCCATGGAGAACAACAAATATGGACACCTTTAGTATGAAAGTACCTGTTCCCCCACACTGCTGCATATTTCGCTTCTTCCTTTCCAAACTTTATACCTGTCTATTTACTTCCTTTCTCTTCAGCATTCTAGTATAATGTCAAATAGTTGTGAGTGTGGACATCTTTGACTTCCTGAATTTGGAAGGAAATAATTCAATTAATTGTGAATCAAATTCACTATTGCTAATACAATTTGAAGAAAAATCAGTACAATTATTTGTAAGGCAAAGAATATTCCATCAAATGGATCTACTATAATTTACATAACCACTCCCCTATTTTTATTTTCCTTTCCTTTCTGAGATTCAGGTCACAATCCTCAATATTACATCTGACCTTTGCAATTTATCTTAGAAGAGCCAATAATCCTAGTATAATACCACTTAACTGAATTTCAGACTCTGCCTATATAGAATCTAGATTGTGTAGATATTCCAAGATGCTAGTCTTAAATTTATATATCTGTTACTTAACCATTTTCCTATAACTGGGCATGTAAACTAGTTGCAGTTTTTCATTATTGTAAATTACATAGTTACAAAGGAAGTAGACTTGCTTCAGTTCCCATCTCTGCCACATATTAGATATGAGACCTTGGACAAATTGCCCATCTTCAAGGCTCAGTTCTCTCATCTGTATATTACAGACAATAAAAGCACCCATGTCATAGGATTTTAATGAGGATTGTTAAATGAGAGATGGTATATAAAGTGTATAAAATAATTTGGGGAACACAGAAAGTGTTCAATAAATACATGCTAGGATCATTTGGGGACTTCGTGAACATTCTGAAACAAATTGTTTTCTCTCCCCCTACCCCCCATCCCTGTATAATTAGGTCCTTTCTGAGATGGCACCTGATATTCAACCAATTCAGAACCTAATGAAGTTGGTGACTTTGTGACAATGTGGAGAAATCATGTCAGAAAATGTGGTTTGTACCGGGGCTGTCAATGCTGTGAAGGAAGTTTGGGAGGAGAGAATAAAGAAACACAATGAAGACCTGAAGCGAGAGAAGGAATTTCAAAAGAAGTATGCTTTAACATGTTTATTGTTTTTGAATTAGTGAAAATTCAGAACATCATCATTCTAGAAAAGAGCACTTATTAAGAGACTTATTATTGAATTTGATAGAGATTTTTATTTACTGAAAACTCAAATTTATAACTACAGGACACCCCTGACTCAATTAAGTGTGGCTATGTGATGGCCACAACAAAATACAAGTGTCTGTATGTGAAAATAGTAGTTGGGGCGCTGGGTGGCTCAGTCGTTTAAGCATCTGGCTCTTGATTTAGGCTCAGATCATGATCTCATGATTCATGAGATCCAGTCCCAAGCAGACTCTGCACTGACAGTGTAGCTTGAGATTCTCTCTCCCTCCCTCTTTCTGCCCCTCCCCTGCTCTGTCTCAAAATAAATAAACATTAAAAAAAAATAATTAATCTTGGGCCCTCATAGGAGTCCATTCAACATTCATCAAAGTTTGATTAGTATCATTTAGTGTACTTTTCACTGATGGTTTGTTCAGTGTAATATTCCCTAGGTACTAAAATAGCAGCTAGCAATGCTAGATAGTATAGATTCTCACCTATTTGAATAGCCATGAGTTTTAGCCAGGTTCCCTGTGAATCACCTGACTCCTTGATTTGGGTTATGCTTAAATAGTTTGGTCTCATTTCCTCTGCCTTCTTGATATCTACTTACTTTCCTGATTGGATGTCTCCAAAGTATTCTGTCTAATCTTGCAAGAATACCTACTTTCTGGATCCCTACAATTCTCATTCATTAAGTCTCTTTCTAAATATTAAGTTGTCTTTTGTCTTGCAACATATACAGGTATTGGGCCATTATGTTGTTCACCTGACACTAATCTAGTGTTATATGACAGTTATATCTCAATAGGAAAAAATGCTCTTATGTCAGTTAGCAAATACCATAAAATTCAACTAAAAATGGCTTAAGGAGGGAAGTCCTGAGGCAAGGCAATTCAAAAGCCTTAACAGCTTTAAAGATTCAGCTTCTTTTTATCACCTTCTACTGCTAATCTCAGGGTTTCAGTTTGGTTCTCAGGGTAGCCTCCCTCAATGTCACAGGATGACTGGTATACTTCCAGGCATTGGAGCCAAGCCTCATTATGTTATCAGAACAGTGGAAACTATTTCTGTTTCTTCAGGAATGAGGAAACCTTTCTGAGGTGCTTTAGCAAACCTCTCCTTCACCTCTCATTGACCAGAACTGGGTGATTTGTACTTCCCTAATCCAGTTCCCTTCTAGGGGAATGAGACTATATGACTAGTTTATTTATTTATTTATTTTTATTTTTTAATGTTTTATTTCTGAGAGGGAGAGAAAGAGAGGACAGCGGGAGCAGGGGAGGGTCAGAGAGAGAGGAAGATACAGAATCTGAAACAGGCTCCAAGCTCTGAGCTGGCTGTCAGCACAGAGCCCGAGGCGGGGCTCGAACCTACGAACCACGAGATCATGACCTGAGCCGAAGTCAGACGCTTAACCGACTGAGCCACCCAGGCGCCCCTACATGACTAGTTTAAATAAATTAAGATTTATACCTGGGTTACTTGGGGGAAGTATAAATACTTGAAAATAACAGCTATTCTCCCAGCAAAGAAGAGGGGAAAAGGTACGTTCTTGATAAGCAACTATTTTGTGTCTACTATCTGTAAAAACAAAAATTTGGCTGGGGAGGGGCCATTCTTCCCAACCAAAGCCAAGAAAGAGGATAATGATGCCGACAATGATTAGGGTAGCAGTGGTTTATTATGCACTTACTGCTTACTAAGCACTCTCCTAATTGCTTTATTTGTCCTATCTCATTTAATCCGCTCAACATACTGAAACAGAGTATCTTGATGGGGATTAGAATGCATTATGAGAGATGGAAAACCAAAATAATATTTTCTAAACAAGATATGTTAACTTTTCCTGGTATTCGATCTGGGGCTGGAATAGCACTCCACTGAGTCAAATGCTCTGGGTTGCCACGGTCAGGCTTATCTTGTTGCTCAACTGTGCATGGTTTCCATTCCTAATGGAATGGATGTCACCCAGTGGCCCCAAATAGATACACCAACCGCAGCCAATGTGCTTGATTCCAGCTAGCAGGAAGCTGCACACACTACTATTTCTGCTAACATCCCATTGATATGATCCATAGCAAACTACAAGGAAGGATGGCTAACTGAAGTCTTGTGCCCATGTGAATTTATTATTGAGGAAGACAAGGAATAACAGATACTGGGGAATGATAAGCAGTCTCTGCCACACATGAGTGTTTGTTTTTTCCCTTTTAAAGACAGAAAACCTGAGAGATAGGCTTAATTCAAAGAACACACTGCTAATAAATGAAGAACTGATATTCATAGCAGTCTGGCTCAGGAAGCATGATATTCACCTCAGGCCTTACATCTCCCTAGATTGGCTCTTTATATATAAAGCTGCTTTTATGAAACCTATTATAATTGTATTCTACAATTATGATAAAGTTGACTCTAGAGTACTCTTTTTAAATTTTAAGTTTATTTATTTTGAGAGAGCAAGAGCACAAGCAGGAAAGGGGCAGAAAGAGAGGGAAAGAGAATCCCAAGCAGGCTCCGCACTGTCAGCACAGAGCCCAACATGGGGCTTGGACCCATGAACCAGGAGACCATGACCTGAGCTGAAATCAAGAGTCAGACACTTAACTGACTGAGCCACCCAGGCACGCTAGGAAAACTCTGCTTTTTAATTTATTTATTTCTTTTGAGAGAGAGAATGAGAGTGAGTGAGCAGGGGAGGGGCAGAGAGAGAGAGAATCCCATGCAGGTTCCATGCTGTCTGTGTAGAGCCCGATGTAGGGATTGATCTCACCAACCGTGAGATCATGACCTGAGCTGGGATCAGGAGTCAGATACCCAACCAACTGAGCCACTCAGGAGCCCCAACCCTAGAGTACCCTTAACATATCATTTCCTTTTTTTAAACAGTGGGTAGGAATCATGATTTGCTTTTAAACTCCTGAACTTCACCTGTTATACGTGTTTAGTTAAGGACCATTTAATTTCAGTAGCTTCAAGTTCTCTCTGCAAAATAGGCAAGGGGTAAAAAGATTAAGAATGTAATCTAATGCCGCTTCTCTCGGCTAAAGGTGGCTAAAGATTTAGTTCAAAAAGCATAAAGTTTAAACAGAAATTGATCTCATCATCTTTTGATGCCAAACTGTCTTGAGGAAATCAAGCCTTTAGGAATGAGTTGGTGTGACAAAATCTGGGAAAGGCTTTAGATAAAAGGGTCTCATAGGAGGTACATAATTTCTATGCAAAATTGAAAGAACATCAAGCTCACACCAAGCAGTGGATGAATTACAGGTTACTAGAGCTGGAAGGGAACTTAGACATTATTTATTCCAAACCCCATTTTTATAGGCAAAGCCCACAGAGGTGGTATGTGTTGCCCACCGTCACCAAATTAAGCAATACATTCTGGACTTAGATCATAGAAATTCAGATCCAGATATCATTTAGGAATCATTATAGAGATGGAAATAGACTTGTTGAGTATTAGCCTCAGTGTAAACTCATTAAGGACAGAGCTTACTGCATGCACGATGTGCAGCATAGCATTTGACATATAATGGTTGCTTGGTGAATTCTTTAAGTAAAAGGTTAGGGACCAAGACAGCTGGTCACACTTGTCATTAAATCTTGTCCTAAAATACATAGATCTCTTAGTGACTAATAAGTAGTTAGCAATCATCATGCTTACTGTTTGATTGAATAGTTCTATTCTTTTAGAAAAGTGATGTTATTGAATATAAAAATTTTCTAATATAGAAATAAAACTTTTGCAACCTTTTACTAGTCATTTTCATAGCTGACTATTATTCTTATGTATATTTGCAATGTACTGAAAATCAATAGGGATGTATTCCAGAATGACAAAGGTTTTATGCATTTTTATATCTGAAATACAAAATCTGAATAAAATTGGAATGTAATCATATATACCTTAACTCTGAAGCTGGACTGTATTATTTGGAAGTCATTAAAAAGTTATTAACTATCTATGGGTTAGATATTTAATAAATCAAGTCAAAAGAACAGTGAGATACCACTTTGCACTCACTAGGATGGCTATGACCAAAAACATGGACAAATGTAGGCAAGGATGGTGAGGCAAGAAGCCTCATGTGCTACAGGCAATTTGGACACTTTGGCAGTTCCTAAAAAAGTTAAAAATAGAGTTATAATATGATGCAGCAATTCTACTCATAGGACTGTACCCAAGATAAATGAAAACATATATCTACGCAAGAACTTGTGCACAAATGTTCATAGCAGCATTATTCCATAATAGCCAAACGGTGGAATTAACCCAAATGTCCATCAACTGATGAACAGATAAACAAAATGTGGTATATCCATACAGTGGAATATTATTCATCGATAAAAAGGAATACAGTACTGAAACATGTTACAGCACAGGTGAACTTTGAATAACTTATGCTATGTGGAAAGACTATATATAGTATAATCCCATAGAAATAGGAAGTAGATTAGTGGTTGCCCTGGGCTAAGGAAGGGAGGAATGGACAGTGACTGCTAATGGGTGTGGAGTTTTTTGTTGTTGTTGTTTTCATTTAAATTCCACTTAGTTAATATACAGTGTAATATTAGTTTCAGGTGGACAATATAGTGATTCAACAGTCATACAACACCCAGTGCTCATCTCAGTGAGTGAATGCTCTCCTTAATACCCATCACCTGTTAAGCCCTTCGCCCATGCACCTCCCCTCTGGTAACCATATTTATTTTCTATAATTAAAAAAGTATTTCTTGGTTTGCCTCTTTTTTTCCCCCCTTTGCTCGTTTTCTTTCTTTTTTAAAAAAGTGCTTTAGCAGTCTCACTCTTTTTTAAATTTTTGAGGGGGAAAGAGCATGAGCAGGGAGGGGCAGAGAGAGGAAGGGAGAGAGAATCTCCCTGCAGGTGCAGAGCCTAATATGGGGCTTGATCTCACGCCTAATCCACTGAATCACCCAGGAGCCTCTGCTCAAGCTATTTCTTAAATTCCACATGACTGAAATCATATGGTGTTTCTTTCTCTTATTTCGTTTAGCATAATACTCTCCAGCTCCATCCATGTCATTGCAAATGGGAAGATTTCATTCTTTTTTTTAGGCTAAGTAGTATTTCCTTCTTTATTCATTCATCAGTTGATGAACTATTGGGCTGTTTCCAAAGTTTGGCTGTTGTAGATAATGCTGCCCTTTGAATTAGTATTTTTGTATTATTGGGTAAATACTTAGTGGTGTGATTGCTGGATCATAGGATAGTTCTATTTTCAACTTTGTGAGGAACCTCCATACTGTTTTCCAGAGTGGCTGCACCAGTTAGCCTTGGGCATGGAGTTTTTTGAGTGATGAAAATGTTTTGGATCAGAGTGGTGTTGGTGAGCAACTCTGCGAATATATCAAAAACCAATGAATTGCATACTTTAAAAGGATTGATTTTATGGTATGTGAATTATATCTCAATAAAGCTATTATTTAAAAAAATCTTTGGAGAGTTATGACACTTTTAGAAAATTTAAATATAGGGCATTCATGAAACTAATCATATTTATAATTCTTGCAAAACACATTCTTTTCTGATTTCCAGATACTATTAATCAAATGGTTGATTTTGATGGGTCACTTTTTATGTAAAAGTGAATGCTACCAATCTCATTACTGGTGAACTAAAATGTTTTCTGGTCTCTTAGGCTAGTGCGAATCTGGGAAGAACGAGTAAACTTAACCAAACTAAGGGAAAAAGTCATCAGAGAAGATGGAAAAGTCATTTTGAAGATAGAAAATGAGGAATGGAAGGTTAGCTTCACAGAACTAATATTTGATTTTCTATAGTTTGCATTTTATGGGAGAGTTGAGAAAATGATTCTGCAACTGTGTGATTAAGTCTGGAATAGCTAGAAATTCTCATTTTAATAATACAACAAATGAATTTGGGCAACATGAACAATTGAAAAGAAATACAACTTCACTGTTTTGGGATGTTTTTTGGTAAAAATTCAATCAATTTCCTTCAATTCTGTCTAAATTTAAATCACTTGTGATTCTTCTCCTACTAATCCTACTAATTAAGCAACCTCTATTTTCCATAAAAAATATGACCATCTGCCTAACAAAAATCATATACCTTCTCCAAAACAAATGCTCAGTTAAAACTCCACAAAATGGAATAGGATATTCATTTTTTTTTAAGGTCTACCACCCAGTTCATATTCTCTCATAAGCGTGTGCACGCGCGCGCGCACACGCGCAAACACACATACACACACACTTGCTTAATTACATTAGGCATACTCTAATTTTTGTAAGGGCCTCTATCCCTTGGGTCAGTGTTTATCTTCATACATATAGGCATAATTGGTGAGGGAGTTGGCTCCTTTATTTTCTCTTTTGGCTATTTTAGGTTGAAAGGGAAAAGGCACAGAGTTCAGAATAGTTGAAACTCTTAAAATCTTTAAATTTAAAAAAATCTGTAAAAATCTTTGATAAAATATTTCAAAATAGAAAGGGAAGAGGGGCACTTGGGTGGCTCAGTCAGCTGAGTGTCTGACTTCAGCTCAGGTCATGGACTCGCAATTTGTGGGTTTAAGCCCCGCGTCGGGCTTTGTGCGGACAGCTCAGAGCCTGGAGCCTGCTTTGGATTCTATGTCTCCCTCTCTCTGCCACTCTCCTGCTCATTCTTTGTCTCTCAAAGATAAATAAACATAATTTTTTTTTAAAAAAATAAGGGGAAGAGAAGTTTGAATTATTGACTAAAATGACTTTTTGGTTTCTCTGTGATTTCAACTAACCACCATATTCTCATTTTCAACTGTATATGTGTACTCTTAAAAAAGCCTAATACAACAACATCTTTAGAACAAGACTCTATGTGTGTACACTGTTGGCCAAAATACATTCTTTTTATTTATTCTGACTGGAGCTTCAAGGTTTAGTACCCATACCCCAAAAATAAAGATCTTAAAACTTAGAAGTAACACACAGCACTTGGAAATAAAACCATTAGTGAAAATTTGTAAGGAAAGTTCTTTTACAAATCAAATAACTTCTCTACAATTATACTTCAGTGTGGCATGATACTAAAATAATTTAAGTAACATGGTAATTCTGTCATTTATTTTACTTGAGTTTAGACCCTCCCTTCTTCTCTGCTAAAACTAAGTCAACTACAGGAATGGCAACTTCATAGAACTGGTTTGTTGAAAATTCCTGAATTTATTGGAAGATTCCAGAACCTCATTGTATTAGATTTATCTCGAAACACAATTTCAGAGATACCTCCAGGAATTGGTAAGGAAGATTGCTTTAATTATCCTGTTTTTTACTGAGAATTTTTTTTTTTTGATAAATGGAATAAAGACCTCATCTTTATACAGCCCTGAGTCTTGAGGAGATTATAAACATCTAAATTGAAGGTTCTAGGGGACCCAGTGTCTGGGATTTACTGAGTTAAGAGGAGTATTCAATGTAAGAAAAGTCTCTTTGGAAATATTATTATATAGATTCTGGAAACACTATTTCTTGTTCAGTTAATCCTCCTAGAAAAGGATAGGTTGAAGGCAAGAGAGAAAATTAGAAAGATTCCTTAGGTGAGGGGAAAAAAAAATCCTCAAATGGAAGATTGGCCAGGATATAGTGTAGATAAAATGAAACAAAAAACAAAAACAAAACAAAACAAAAAACAACCCACCACATGTTTTCTGCCTATAGCAAAAACCCAATAAACCCACTCCTTATCTTTAGAAGGGGCAGAGCACATACTGGGAAAAGAAGTGTGAATTTGCCAATGGGAAACTGACAAGTTATACTGTAATAACTGGAAACATAGTTTTATATCTATTTGTTCTCTATTATTATTTTTTGTAGGACTGCTCACTAGACTTCAGGAACTGATTCTTAGTTACAACAAAATCAAGACTGTCCCCAGGGAACTAAGCCATTGTGCCAGCTTGGAAAAACTAGAACTTGCTGTAAACAGAGATATATGTGATCTTCCACAAGAGGTCAGAAAGATATAAATGCCTACAATTTTATTCTACTACTGGTTTACTTCTTAACTGTGTGATTATTAAAAATAACACTAATGAAGAAATACTATACATTTTACTTCAGAAAATATTTAGTGAAATCATTTCCTGTTATTATAACATATTTTTAATTAGAGAAATATCTATTTAGCATAAATATTATTGTCACAGTACTGACATCATTTGTGATCTCCTTAAAGTCCAGAGTAAAGGGTCTTTCTTATTTCTATTTCCAGCCTAGCTTGTAGTTGTTGCTTAGTAAATGCTTATTGAATGAATAAATGATTATTATTAAAGCACAGGCAATGTGGTGATAGAAAAGCTCTTTTGTTTACTAGTTGGTATTTACAGAGTGTTCAGTTTTTGAGACAGAGGTGAAGTGGTAAGAAATGAGTTCATCAGTTTAGGAAGTGTTTCTTTGCTAGCTTCTTTGACTCTACCAAGTAAAGGCAAGGCAATGGGTTTGGAAAGTCTTCAAACTTTGATCTGGTATGATAACCTTGCTATTAGTAAAGCCAAACTGGTCATAGAGATATAGACTCAAACATATTGAGTGATCTTACAATTAGCAAAGAAAATTTCCAAGATGTTCTAACTTTGCAAAATGAAAGTTAAGGAAAATAATAAAACTCAAAATAAAGTAGAAAGACTATTATCTTTTTCCATTCTCTGCTATTTTTGGTGAGAATATCACTTTTTCCCCACAGCACTAAATACGTCACCAATAATTGTTGTTCTGACAAGTAAAGCACTGTTTCTATGTTTATATCTACTTCATATTACAATAGTTTAATGAAATGTATGCACTTGGTTATGATAAAAATGATGATCACAGGGACAATTTATACTTAGGGCCAATAAATATTTTATTTCCAACTTCTAATTCTTATATTGGTTCAGTCACTAAAACTGCTGTATGAATTTGGACATGTCTATTAACCTGTGTTTGCCTTAATTTTTTTCATGTAAAAATAGGTTTTACTGGGACAAACACTAAACTGAGATTTGAGTCTGGGATTATTTCCAAGTGTGGCCTCTAAGTAGCTGTGTAGCGTCAAACACACCACTTTATATAATTAGGTCTCAATGTTCACATATGCAAAATAGAGGCTGTCAGATTATAATATTATCTTTGAATATTATGAAACCAAAGGGTTCTAGAACCACTGAGAAATCAGCAACAGGAGACTTATCTCTCAGCCATTACACTGCACACATGTATATACACGAAACATATTTATGCCAGTGTAAACACAATCTTTTTATACTCCATTCTAAACCATTTGAAAAATTTTAAAGTGTGATTTTGAAAAAGTGTTTTGTCCATGGCTTGAATTCTAAAGCTGGAGAAACATCACCTCCTAAATGGACACCTCCTGCTTTTTTTGCATTACCCACAAAACACTGGGTGTGTATGTGTTTTGTTTTGTGTTGAGGTTTTTTTTTGGTGTTAAAGTTGTGGAAAGAATCTGAACATTCCTGAAGATAAAAATTAAACAGAACTTGCCTAGATAAATGGAAAGTTCTTTGGAAAAGTTAACTAAATTCTCACATTTTGAAACTTTCACTACAGTGTTATATGGAAAGAGGTTAGAAATTTTGTGGCTTTAGTTCCAGAAAGCTTGAGTACACATCACTCATCATTTCCAGTTACACGGCCTCTCTCAACCATTTTGTCCATAAAATAGAAATATGATATTCATCTTGTAAAGTTGATGAATAAACTAGAGCTATAAGCATCATCATGAATACACTGACACTGATGTTGAGAGAAAAAAGTTAAGGAAAGAGAAGTACAGCATCATAATCTTCAAATAAAAATACTAAACTTTGTGAAAACATGTATAATAGTAATTATAGAGAAATATATAGAAAACATATTTGTGTATAGCAATACAAATTTTTAAAAAACATTTACAGGAGTAATAAATACCAAATTCAGGAGAGGGGTTCCCTCTGGAAAGGAAGAAGGGAAGAGTACATAGGAGGCAGTCATATCAATATATGTATATATATATATTTTTTAAGTTTATTTTGAGAGAGCGCACATGTGTGCAGGGAGAGGGGCAAAGAGAAGAGAGCAAGAGAATCCTGAGTAAGCTCCGTGCCAACAGCATGGAGCCTAATACTAGGCTCAATCTCATGAACCAAACCGTGAGATCATGACCTGAGCTGAAATTAAGAGTCAGTCACTTAACTGACTGAGCCACCCAGGCACCTCTGTATTTTCTTTCTCAAGCTGAGCACATTGGTGTTTGATATGTTATTCCTAATACATTTTTATTGGTGTTTTTCATTTAAAAGATAGAATAACCAAACAGTAAATTCTGTGACTGACGTAACATGTAAAACACCAGGCACAAAAAAGAAGGCTCAATAAAGATAATATTGAAGTTTGGGTTTTCCCAAAAAAATCTCAAATACAGGATGAAAGGAAAACACAAGCAGGTTCTGTAAACCCTGGAACTTGGGTATTTGGAAAATAAATTTTCTTTGAATAGATGAATTTTCTGTAAGATTTTTACATTTTTCTGGAGGTTCCTTAGCTTTATTTTTACTTCAGAGTTACTGTGGACTACTAGGAGTACATAAAGCCCAAGTGTAATCTGAACATTCCTGGATGTGAAGTACCTCCTCTAGCCACTTGACTGTTCTAGTACTTTACGTTGTGGACATTCACTTTGAAAAATTTTGCTTTCCTCTTCAGCTTAGCAATTTGTTAAAGCTTACTCACCTTGATTTGAGTATGAATCAGTTTACTACAATCCCTTCTGCTGTGTTGAACATGCCTGCTCTTGAGTGGCTCGACATGGGAAGCAACAGACTTGAGCAACTTCCTGACACTATAGAAAGGTAAAATAAATAATCTTCTATACTATTAGCAGATGTGTTGAAGCCATCCTCAAGAAATAAGAAATAAAAGACAAAACAGAGGGGACCCTAACCTAATCAATCATAGTAGATCCATGTAGTACTAAATATGCTACTTTTTAACAAAATGTTTTCATTTACTTAAGCATAAGGGTTTTAGAAGAGAAAAACTGGCTATCTCACTTCAACGTATTGACATGAATGTGGCAAACAAGAACATTATTTAGTGCATGCCAGGCACTCTGCACTTTACAAATGGATGAGGAAACTAACGTGGAGAGGTTAGCTAAACTGCTCAAGATCACAGTGGACTTGTGCAGTTTAGCTTTTAAATGTAGGCAGCCTGGCCCAGAGTCCATTATGCATACTTGTCTTGCCCTAACTGGGCATATTAGTACTTTCCCATTTTTCTCCTAACACTCTAATTCAGATTAGATAACATTTACAGCAGTTCTTCAAGAAATCCTGCGAGAATAGTGAAGAATTCACTAAAATACATTGGTTTCGTTCTACCACCACACGCTGAGAACTGTAGTGTAGGGATTGACTCTCCGATGTGGTTTCCCCAATCAGGTAATGTGAAGCCAGTTAACTCAACTGCTGCTATACTGGTTAAAGGAGATGTTATAAAAAATGACCTTTCTTTTATTTTGGGTAAAGAACCAGGGTTTTCATATTATGTATGGTTAATCACAGAAACTTCTCTTTCAACTCATCAGAATGCAAACTCTACATACATTATGGCTGCAACGGAATGAAATAACATGCTTGCCAGAAACAATCAGCAATATGAAAAATCTGGGTACGCTTGTTCTCAGCAACAATAAACTGCAAGATATTCCAGTGTGCATGGAAGAGATGACCAATCTGAGGTAAAAGCTGTAGACTCCAAACTGACACGTTCCTTTCTGGCTGCAGCACAAAGTAATATAGAGAAATTGTTATTAACAGATTTGAGTTCTCATTCATATTAACGAACACATTTAAAAATCTTTTCCAACTTGGAAATTCTATAATTTATAAATAGGATTCATTTAACACTGGTTAGAATTATTTAAGAAAGAATCCCTGAAACAAAAGCCATACTGGCATTATTGGCTCTAAGGAATGCCCTCGGTTGGTGAGATTTTTATGAAAATCATTTTGTAACTGCTAATAAACCTCATCTACAAATAAAAACCAAAGGCATAAAAATAGTGCTTATTTTCCTTCTAAAAGACTACAGTGGGCACGTTATAAATACATATGTCAGTTACTCTCAGAATTCCCTCAGGTGTCTTACTTCCAAAATTTAATTTCCTAACAGAACATAAGACATGGGAATTCACATCAAATCCCACAATTTCCATAACAAAACCAATCATTCATTCATCTATTCAGTAGCTAGTAAGCCATGTACTCGATGGTGAAGATACAATAATAAATAAGACACAAGTAAGTCTGTAAAATATACAAACTTTAAGTTCATAGCATTAATTGTATGTTTGAGATGTCCTAGACTTGCTCTGGGAAGTTGAACTGTTCCACGTTAAATATATGATAGGGACTAATAGTTTTTTCTATAAGCTTTGAAAATAAGTTGTCTAAAGCTAGGGTTTTTTTCCTTCTAGAAAAGAGACTTAAAAAGATCCTTAGGATTTGGGGCGCCTGGGTAGCTTAGTCGGTTAAGCGTCCGACTTTCGCTTGGGTCATGATCTCACGGTTCGTGGGTTCGAGCCCCGAGTCGGGCTCTGTGCTGACTGCCAGCTCAGAGCCTGGAGCCTGTTTCAGTCTGTGACTCCCTCTCTCTCTGACCCTCCCCTGCTCATGCTGTCTCTCTCTCTCTCCTAAAAATAAGTAAAACATTAAAAAATAAATAAAAAGGAAAAAGATCCTTAGGATTTATCACATCTTACCATGATGTTTGGTTACTGTAACCAGTTTTTTTTTTTTTTTAAAAGTAATTTAGTATATTATCATTTGATCTTTTCCTAGGAAAATAAATGTACATGTCTATGGCACCTATAAAAGTACTGTTTTTTAATGAACTGCTAGGTTTGTCAACTTCAGAGACAACCCGCTGAAACTGGAAGTGACACTTCCTCCTACTGAAAGCATAGATGAAGAGGAGGAACGGGAATTATTTGGCCTTCAGTTTATGCATATATATATACAGGAGTCACGGAGAAGAGCAGGTATGAGATTTCTCTATAACACAAGCCAAATATTTGGTAGAGGAATGTGTATATCTATAAATTCCTTTATAGATATCTCATTCCATCTTACCTTTTCTGTCAAATATTGTCTCTTTCTCAATATTGAGGGAGGCAGGGCGCCTGGGTGGCTCAGTCAGTTAAGTATATGACTTCAGCTCAGGCCATGATTTCTCAGTTTGTGAGTTTGAGTCCTGCATCAGGCTATCTGCTGTCAGCATGGAGCCTGCTCTGGATCCTCTGCCTCCCTCTCTCTCTGCCCCTACCCTGCTTGTACTCTATCAAAACTAAATATTAAAAAATATATTGTGGGAGGAAAAAAGAATGACATTCAAATCTGTTCACAATTCTGATAAAAGCTTGGAGAGAAATTGTAAAGACATAGAAAACTTTTCAAGTAGAGGAAACAAATTTCTTTGGCCAAGCACTTGAAGCACAACCAAATGAATGAAGATGTGATTCTTTTTTTTTTTTTTAATGTTTTATTTATTTCTAGGAGAGAGAGATAGAGAGACAGCGTGAGCAGGGGAGGGTCAGAGAGAGAGGGAGTCACAGACTGAAACAGGCTCCAGGCTCAAAACTGGCAGTCAGCACAGAGCCCGACGCGGGGCACAAACCCACAAACCAAGAGATCATGACCTAAGCGAAAGTCGGACGATAAACCGACTAAGCCACCCAGGCGCCCCATGAAGATGTGATTCTTAAAGCTTCACTACATAATTCTATCAGTTTGTCGCATATTTCTGTGTACTCATAAACACTACCTTCCCTGTCATGTCCTTTTTTCTACAATCCACAACACAGTATTTTTCCTAGGGATGAATATTAAGAGACCAGAGATTTTAACCAATAGTTAAAGTGTGAGGTTTTGATATATAGATTTCACTTAGTCTCTGATAATTAAGAATTAAACCACTTTTTAACTAAAGGAATGCCTTTAACTTAAACCAAGGGTAGAAGAAGCCAAAGAGACAATTCTGTTAATAAAAACATTGAAAACTGTAATAGAAACCATTGTTTCACAATTCATTAAAATGTGAAGTTTTTGAATCATAAGGTTAAACTTACCTTCAGATAGTTACTTTGGAGAATAAGTGTAATCTAAGCAAATGAGTGTTTTTAGCTAGAAGAAATCATTTTTACCAACATCCAGTGGAGGATGTTAGGAAATGGTCATCTGATCAGTGATAGCAAGTCACAGAAACAATAGCACAGAAAGTAGATTGGAGCAAGATAAGTAAAATTATAGTGGGAGCCTAGTTTAGGGTATAAATACATACGACAGGTAGGAGACAGAATTGAATACTGAATGACAAGAAAAGAGAAGACTCCAAGATTAATCTGTTTTTGGTTAGAGCAACCAGATGGATGGTGATGCAAAGAAGGGGAAATGAAGTGCAGAAGCGGGTTTGGTGGTAGGAGTGGAAGATAAGGAAATTGGACATAGTTGTGGGACATGCAGGAAGAGGTAGTTGTGTAGACGAACCTAAAAGTTCCAGAAGGAGTTTGCTGACCCTGCAAATTCAGCAAATCAAGTTACAGCAATATATATATCCCACATGGTAACTTTCTTAGGATATAGTAAGGGAAATAAACAATGATCTCCACGTATAGCTTGTGTAACGACAAGCTTATCTGCCCATAAAGTACTTGGTATCATTGTCAGTAACATATCTTTAAGCTAAATGGGGGCAGGGCTATTATCAGAACTCTTGTGTGTGTATGCATGTTTTATGAAACATAGTTGAGATTATGCTTGTTGCAGAGTATTTTTTATTTCTGGGCATAAATTGTTGAATGATGCAAAACAGTTTGTAAGACACAAATTAGCATTCCCTGACCCAGTAAAATCATGTAAATTATTGAATGATACATTACTTTCATTTATGTTCTTTTCTTTGGGAAGATGAGTAATTAACTTTAGAAATAATCCAACTGCCTTACTTTAATAATATTTGCATAAAAATTATAAAAGAGAAAAAACTCTTACAACTTAAGCAGAAATAATAAGACCAAGTCTGCCTGTTGTTATTAAAAATAGATTTGCGAATTAGTACTATTAACACTTAATATTTATTATTTACATTGTACTTGTTCTAAGCATTTTACATATGTTATCTCATTTGTTACAACAACCTCCTGAGGTAGGTAGTATTACTATCTTCATCATTCTCATTTAAAAAGGAAAATTGAGGCACAAAGAGATTAAGTAGTTGCCCAAGGTCATACCCTGGGGTGGTAGAGTAGGCTCTGAATCTAGGCAGTCTCATGAAACAAAGGAGATTAAAGTAGAAAGGCCAGGAATTAAAAATGTTCTAGGTTCTAATTTAGAATTCATGTAATCATAGATCTATTTACAGGATAAAAAAGTTACGTAAGAATATCATTATAGTATCTAAAATTAGTAATTCTGATCTTTGTTTTTGCAAAGGTGCCAATGATTAAGACAGGTTTTACAAGTGAAGGCAGAAATAATTCAAGAATAACATGAAGCGAGTAACAGTCCTCACCATATGTTTGGTTTAATATCTGCTTGTGCATAGAAACTGCTTATGAGTTACATGAGGCCTAAATGTGAGGTTATTTTTGGTCTCGTTATCTAATTTCCACCTCATTCCAAATTATTTTCCCCATCAGGAGAGAATATACTTGTAGCTGTACTTCTATGTATAAAACTGTCTTTGTGAAAAGGTATGATGGCTAATTAACTTCTGAAGTTACTCGCAAATTTCAGTTTAATTTATGAACTTTTTGGAAGTTCTATCTAGATAATGATTCAATTAAAAAATGAAGTGAAACAGATTATTTCCCTTGAAAACATCTCTTCAGTTTTGTTGTCTGTCATGGATAAATGCAGATAATACATAAATACAGGTATGGCTCTGGAAGTCTGAAGGTGAATTCATTAAATGTGAACATCTCTGAATTTGTTTGCGTTAGAAAAAAATCAAAATTGATTATCTTTTCCAGATCTGAATGGACAAAAAAATCCATACATAAACCAAATTCTCAGGTTGGCCTTGTTACAAACTGGTAATTGATCATTACATCTTGAACTTGAGAAATAAAAAAGCCATAAATACAACCAAAGGAAAAAAAAAATGACAAAATGAATACAAATAGAAAGTTAGCATGCTGGTTGTGTATTGATGGATTATGTGTGTTTCAGATAACCAAGTCAACTGTTCAACTACTTTACCAATCTCTATAAATACTGATGGATAATGTAACTCAAGATGCCCTGCTGAAGAGAATTACTTGGGGAATTTGGTGAATTCGCTAATGTTTGGACTTCTTAAGTAAAAATCAAAGCTATTACCAAGGCTCAATGAGGCCACAACATTTTTTAAAGTTCACATTATCTGCTATGTAAATTATATTTTCATGAATATAAAAATACAATTAAAAAATTTTTTTGGCGGAAGACAGATGTTCAAAATTTCTTTTCCATTAATCAGTTGTTTCTGGTGGTGAAGAATGATTTGGTAAAGCAGTTAACAATACATTTTCCAAAGATACCAGAGGATCTGTATAATACTGTAAAGCAGGACTGAATCCTTTCTGCTGTAAATACTCGACTCGGCCTTGGTCAATCAGCAATTTACAAAGATGCCCTATTTTCTTCTTTTCTTCAACAGTAAGGAACCTAAACCGAATAAACAAAACATCGTTAAAATTTGTAGAAGTTTATGAAAAATTTATTTTAGCCACTTCTATTTATTGGCAAGTTGCTAAGTAACCCACGATACACTAGGTGCTATGTTCCATGCTCCCAAGATACGTTTTATTTATGCCACAATAAAAGTCTATTTTTGGGGCACATGGTGGCTCAGTCGGTTAAGTGTCTGACTTTGGGTCAGGTCATGATCTCACGGTTTGTGGGTTCGAGCCCTGCGTTGGGCTCTGTGCTGACAGCTAGCTTGGAGCTGGAGCCTGCTTCAGATTCTGTATCTCCCTCTCTGTCTCTGACCCTTCCCTGCTCACGCTGTCTCTCTCTCTCTCTCTCTCAGAAATAAACATTTTTAAAAAATTAAAAAAAATAATAAAAGTGTATTTTAACTTATTCTAAAATTGGATGATAAGATACATCTTCATGAATAGATTCTTGTAACATTTATCTAACAAGAAACTGGAACAGTGACAAAACATTTCTGCCCTAGTGTTGTGCATTTCAAAGTAGTCACTTACTCGGGTAAACTCTCGGTGCTGTCGTCTGGGATTTTGCGTTCCCCATCGTCATGCTCTTCACTGTCGTCACTGTGCTTATCTTTTCTCTTTGTGATCACATCAGAGGCTCCCAAAGATGTTTTTCGCATCCCACAAGTTGCCCAACTACTCATTCGCTGGAAGTAGTGGAATTCCACTGCTCCAAGGCCTAGAGCCCTGAAATATTCTTTGCCCACATAATGTCTCCAATCACACCTGTGGTGACAACAGAGTGCAATAACAATGCCAGCCACAGGGGTCCACTTCTCTGGGACATTTTTCTCATTTCCTTCCTTGGTCAAAGTGTTAATTTCTTTGTCTGTTTTATCATTCTTTCTGCGTTTGGCTAAAGGTTCTTCATTCCTTTCCTCACAACTGGAAGCATAGGTTTCAACCAAACATCGTAATGCAAGATCTGCAAACACAATTATGTGGCCCCCCCAAACCACATCATCTTTAAAAATAAGTATTTTTTACATTTATTCAGCAGTATGGTTTCTAAAATCCCAACAATAAAACCTACTTAGCTTTATACTTGTAATAATTCATCCATGAATTATCAATTTTGTTCATGTTTGCTGTCTTCTAATTAGCATCTTTTTCCCTAGTGATTTATTCTGGATAAAATCTACTTCCCCCAAAACTGTCTGAAGCTTAAGATCTACAGTTTGTAAAAGCTTTTAGTTCAACTACTCAATTGGCTCTCATTTCTCCTTCTCTAGCTGAGGAAATGACTTGTATGGAAAAAAATTATTCATCTGCACTTACATTCCAGGAAAGTTTTGAGCTCAAGAAACCCAAAAAAAGAATAGAGGGGAAAGGCATCTGCTGAGATTGATGTTAGGTGTCAGTCAGGGAATGTAAGATGTTCACAGAAAAAGCTGAGGAGCTGAAGAGTTGAGAAGAGGGGCTCAGACTATGGGAAGTAGGCCTCACTGAGCAGCCTTGTGGAATTTATGCATGCATTCAGCAATTAGTTACTGTGTGCCTTTTGTGTGCAAGCTTTGCGATGTAATGATGCTTATCATAAACTTAGAGATGGATTACTCCATATTAAAATGAAAATTTAAACTTAAAAGCTAAACAAATAGGTTTTTTTGATGATTAGGACCATTTCCCACTGAAGACCACTATACTGATGACAATATTGGAAAGACCCCAAACATATGCTGTAAAACCCATATTTTATGTCTGAGTAGACTGGCATGCTGTGTCTAGTCAATCAGAAACATATATTTTAAAATGTTATTACTGTAAGATGTCACCAGTGACTATTAAATGATTTTTTACTAGTGAATTTAATTCAATATGAGTTTAAGTCAACAAACATTATTGGGAGAAAGGGATAGCTAATCTATTATCATAAACTATTATTTTCAGACAAAATATATTCAGTCACTGTTTTATTTATATTGGACCTAAGTAAATGATTTTCAGAAATGTGAATAATCAGAAAAATTATTCAAAGTATGAATATTTTAGAATCAGAAGAAGCTTTAACAATCTATTTCAACCTCTCCTTTACAAAGAGCTTAAAGGACAAAGCCATATACCAAAGAATGGGACAAGGACACACAGCAAAGTGTGGCCAAGATTATTCATTCACTCAAATGCTTACTGTTTCTATTATATGCCAACCATTGTGTTGCACATTCCCTGTACTCAAAAATTTCACAGCACAGTGGGAAAGTTAGATACATAAATTAAGTTAGCTATTATATAACAAACTGAAATACAATAAGGTAGAGATTTGCAGATGGAACGATGATAAACACTAAGGAAATTAGAAGTTGACCCAGTACAGTGCATGGGCAAAGTACACAGGGTTTTAATTTGCTGACCAGTAAAGGGGGATGCAGGAACTGGCACAGGCTGAAAGGCAGAGGCCACACTGGCAGCAGGTTGTCCTGTTAAAGAGCTTGGACTTTAAGCTGCAGGTATTAGGAGCTACTGAAGAGTTTTAAGAGGAAAGATATATTAGGTGTGCAGCCAATGCTCCAAATATTAGTATTTAAAGAACAGGCAGTGGAAGGAGGCGATGAGAAAAACAGAGGAAGAATGGCATAGCTTAGGGGAAGAATCGGCAAAGAAGAATGTCACAAAAGGAAACAATGTCAAAAAGGGGAAGCAACTGCAGCAGAGAATTTTCAGTAGGACAATAGAATCCTACTCTATCAAGAGGGAAAAGTGTGTGGAACAAGGAAAAATGGCCAATACAGATTATACATCAGAGAAACTTGGGTTAGATGGGTAAGAGTAAATGAGTGTGGTTTTATTCCTCTCCAGGATAGAAATGGCTTACTTTAGAAGGCTTTTCTGAGGGTTACATGAAATAAAGTATATGAAAGTCATCTTAACAACTACGAAGGAAGACACAAATATTCAATACTCAAAGCCATTTCTGGCCAACTTGAATAATGTTTATGGAGGCTCTAAGATCCCCAGATGGGAGATGAGGAGAGCAGCAGAGCAGGAGCCAGGAAGAAGATGTAAGAGTAGTTAACACTTGTTGAATGCTACTATGTGCCAGATACTTACATGTAACATAGTAAATTATGTTATCATCCCTGTTTTACAGATGAGATAACCAAAGCTCAGAAAGGTTATGTAGTTTGCCAAGGTTACATAACACAGTACAGCTGAATCCTGGACTATCTGATGCTCTTTCTACCTTACCAAGCTACTCCTGAGAGACAGATCCAAGTGCTAAGATAAGACATCTTAGATGTTTTACCTAACATTTCTTTTCTCATTTTCTCCAGAATCCTGGAACATAACCATCTTCTAATGGGAGAGGTTTCGGAATCCTTCCCAAGCAACTCCTCAAATAACTCAGTAGCTTCTGGGGTGGAATTATATGGTCTCTATAAATGATTTGTTTCCTTTTTGGTTGAAATATAAACCAAGGAGCTTTAAAGTCTCATGACCCAGTATTTACACATAAAACTCTTAATTCATCCTGTCAAATGGCCAAAATGAGCAGATAAATAAGACAACTCTGTATATGATGTAACACAGGGTCAGTGCTACGATGAAAATTAATGAGTTTAGGCTTAAGTAGTAAAACTACCCAAACTATTTCAATGATTGGCACCGTGTAAAGCTAAAACTTAATGTGTTCATCTAAACATCATTAGTGTGTTTACATACCTGTTGCCATACCACATAGATGCTTTCCAATTCCTACCACAGGTAGTTTTTCTTTGCTTAGCAAAGGAATTTTGTCTGGAATAAAAGTAAATGAAAACTGAGTTAGCTCTCTTGTGAGATAAGGCATTCGCATGGCATTCTGAAAGAACCAATTTGAACCTTTAAGTTTTAGGGTGTAAAGAGACTCAAACAAAACCTTCACTTTATAGCTGAGGAATAAGAGACTCAAAGATGTAGTGACCTGTTAAGTACAAGCCAGAATAAAAGTTTCTTTCCTCTTTTCTTCCCTTTTCTTTCGCTCTTGCCCTTCCTCTTGAGTTAGGTTTCCTGACTCTTAGGCCAATGTTATTTCTTCTATACCGACCCAGGACTTTCCCCTATAGAAGCCTTATTTTGCTATATATGATTAACACACTGAAAAAAGAACTCAAAACTTTCCCTGCTAGAAGATGTATTTTGAACAAATAATACACATGATAAACATATTAATAACATGACCAATATATATATTGTAAAATACTCTATTCACCACTATAACCTAATAATATAGTTTTAATAGGTTCATGTACAAAAATATTATTGTAGCTTTTCACACTGTTTTGAAAAAAAGAAAATATTCCTAACAGTCCTGAAAAAGTTAAAAAAATATATCCATAAGGTAATACAGTAAAATGTACTATATTACAGTTATGGCCTCCATTTTTCCCCCATTCATTTTCCTTTTTCTAAGATTCTGAAATGAAAAGTATGCTTCCTACTGCAAATCCAGCCACAGCACGTAATACAGTGGAATAGTCCAGTGGAAGTACTTAATAAATTTTTCCACTTTTCTGTTACTTGCTTTCAAATGTATTATATTACATGCCAGGAGAAATTGGTA